TGTTCATCTGCCCTGCCTAGACCACGTGAGTCTGCATGAAGAACTAGGAAAAAATAATAGTAATTATTACAGAATAAAAAGCAACGTGCCTGCTGCCGGAACAGAGCTGGAGAGCCCGTAGAGCCCCGGACTGCAGGCAGGGCTGATCGGCCCCTTCTCGGCTGTCGGAGCCAGCTCTGCACCGCAACAAGGGGCTCCTGCCGGTGCTGATGGCATTTTATTCATGGGAGAACCAAGGGTCAAACAGGGCCTAACACAAATACGGAGACCCCGACAGTGCAGACACTGCAACAGCCCCCCGGCTCCTGCCCTCCAGCCACCCCCCGGGTGGAGCAGGGGATCCCTGCGGGGTTTCCCCCTCTTACCAGCCTCTTCTGTGGCTTGAGCGGCCGGTTGATGCCGTTCATTTTGTGGTAGAGCCCGCAGGCGTTGCACAGGTAGTGCCCGGTGCCGTCCTTCCTCCAGAGCGGCGTGGACATGGCCCCGCAGTTCACGCACTCCCGGCCGTCCCCGGGGAACTCCTCCAGGTACTCTGGAAGAGACACCCAAGGCGTGCGGGTCAGGAGCCGTCCCCACCGCACAGGGCCACCCGGGGCCGGGCTGCCCACGGGGACCCTGCAGGAGAAGGTCCCTAATCCTCTGTGCCCTGCTACTCCTCTGCCAGGGACAATCCCTGCCCGGAGGGAGTTTACCTCCACTCTGCAAAGTGTGGACCAAACCCCTTTATTCCCCCCACACCTTAATCTTATAATATTTCGCTCAAAAACAGAATATCCCCCATCCCCACCCCAAAAGATCCCGAAGAGCTGAGCGCGGCTGGGGTCTCCCTGGGATGGGAACGGGAGCCCATCAGCGGGAGAACGCGGTGTTATCCCTGCGCCCGGCGCAGCCCGGGCTGCAAAATTAAGTTATCATGAGGGGGGCAAAACGAGGAGCTTTTCCTGATTTCCATCAAGGTGCGGTGGTCGCTGGCCCCGGTGGGCAGGGTGCGGCTGGGGAAGCCTCGGGGCTGCCCATGGAGCAACGCCGGGCTGCGGCTCCGCTCGCCCCGCGCCGGCCGGGTCGGCAGCCGTGGGGAGCCCGGGGCTCCCCGGGAGAGCAACTCCGGCCGCCCGCGGCCCCAGACTCCTGCTAGCGAGGCTATTCCTCGCTTTTCTCCCACTCCGAAAGCCCCGGGAAGAAGCCGCGGAGCCGCCCGCTCCGAGCTCCGTCCCCGGTCCGTCTCTGCCCCGAGCGCGGCTCCGCGGCAAACGGGCAGCCCGGAGCAAAAGCGAGGGACCCCTCGATTGAGAGTCGGTCTTTTTCCTCCTGCGGCTTTTCCCTCTCTTTTTGAAATAAATTCATCCGCCTGGAATGTTATTTTCTTTCGAAGAAAAATACGCTCGTATTTTTTTTTTTCAATCTTCGATCGTATTAATAATGGTCCAACGGAAAGAAAAAGGGAAAAGAACAAAAATTAAAAAGGGCAAAATGGAAAATAAAAATAAAATGTAAAAAGTAAAAAAAGAAAAAAGTTGCAATAATTCATTAAATGAAAAAAGAATAGTTTACGCTACTTAAGAGCGGTTTACACTATTCAAGAGCAAAAATAAACGGCAGAAAGGACGGCAGCCACTATTCCGGATCCCAAACCACCAAATTCAAAGCGCAGAAGAGATTTCTGCGCCATCACCTCCCTCGGCAGGACCGGGGCGATCCCTTCCCGCACCACGCAACGGATTTTCCCAGACAAAGAGAAAATCCTGGAAAGAAACTGCTCCCGAGCACCTCCGGCGTGGGAGGAAACGCCGAGCCGGGGAGGCAGCTCGGCGGGGAGGGGGGCTGCTTCCCTGGTTTAACTTTGTTCTTGGGGTAAAGATAAGATAATTCGGTTCACCGCAGTAAAGATGATAACGCGGCTGAGATCTTGAAGTGGCTTTTAAAGGACTTTGCAAATCACCGCCGGAGGAGGATGGTGAAATACCCCCGGGGCTATAAACCCTGCGCACGGAGAGTCCTTTTAAATCAAGCCCAAAACTTTATTTGCTCGGGGCTTGGTTTAAAAGGACTCTCCGGTGTGGATGCAAACGAATTGAAGTGGGGTTTATTGTTCAACGCCTGAGTGCGTTTCAGTGTCTCTCCAAAGGCCGCAGAGCGATGCAGCTGCGGACCTGTTTGGGCGAAGGCGAATTAGGAGACCGAGAGTCTGTTCAAATATAAACTAATTTACCACAATAAATTACTTAAAAGGGAGGGAGCTATAAATCTGCCCCGCTAATTTAAACACAAGGGTAAGTATTGAAACACAGGCACAAAGTCGATATTGTGGGAAGGAGATATCGTGGGGGTGGGGGCGGGAAGGGGTTGAACGGCCTCCGCTCCTCTGTCCTGCGGGGGAATTGCCACAATAAATTACTTAAAAGGGAGGGAGCTATAAATCTGCCCCGCTAATTTAAACACAAGGGTAAGTATTGAAACACAGGCACAAAGTCGATATTGTGGGAAGGAGATATCGTGGGGGTGGGGGCGGGAAGGGGTTGAACGGCCTCCGCTCCTCTGTCCTGCGGGGGAATTGCTCTCCTTTGAAACGTGGTCTTTGCCCTTCGTGTCACACACACAGCCCCCCCCCCCCCCCCCTCTCCCCCCCCCTCCCCGCCC